TCTATCTCCAAAGTTCGTTCTGGTATAATTCTCATCATCCCAATTGCATCCCTGGTTCCTTTTCCTCTTCTAAATCCAAACTGATCTTCTCCAAGTACATCCTCTATTTTCCTTTCAATTCTTCTTTTAATTATCTTTGCTGTATGTGCAATAAGACTTATTGTGCGATGGTCGCTGCATTTTGTAGCTTTTGTCTTTTTCTTTAAGGCAATCATTGTAACTTCTGTAAAGTCCTTGGGCCACTCTCCACTTTCATATATGGTGTTCATTAGTTTTGTCAGTGTTTTCAAACCACCTTCTCCCAGTAACTTGAGCACATCTCCAGGTACATCATCATCTCCTGTAGCCTTTCCCTTCCTCATTTCCTTGATAGCTTTTTCGACCTCACTTTGTAAAATATATGGTCCTTATACAACATATCTTAGGGTAATGGAAATGATTGAAGCCAAGGCCTTCAGAACATTTATTAGAATGTACTCCTTATTCAAAAATGGATGTTAACTGCCAACATTAAGCTGACCCTCTACAAGGCACTGATCTGGTCAGTAATGACTTACACTTGCCCTCCTGGGAATTAGTGGCAGGCATCTACCTCTTAAAATTGCAGCACCTACGAAACAAGATTCTCCACACCATTGGAACTTTTCCAGGGTGCACACCGGTCCATGATTTGCGCACAGCTTTCAACTTTCCATACATATATGATTATATAAGAAAATTGTGCAGGCAACAGGCAGGAGTCATACAAAATTATGAGAATGAACATATACATAGTATAGGACAAAGCAAAGCAGATATGGAAAATAAAAGAGGCGGTGGATCTTATGACTGGTAAAGTGACAGAAATGTCATTGTAGCATATGATAATGCAAGATATGCATGATCCACTCTGTAAAGCCTGCACTGACAGAGGAATTGTGTAGATTATAAAAGGAAAAAATTTTCAATAACATGCTGTATGTGTGATACACTTGACAAGAGGCCAAGCATATTCATTAGAGACTAACTCATCTTCTTGTCACAGTGGATGTTACATAAGGACTATTACCACAACAGCTCAGTTGAAAAAAAAAAAATTCAAGTTTTTGGTTTCAAAGGGATTGATGCCAACACAAACTGATGGGCAGTAAACTGCCATCATAAAGTATCTTTGACTTCAACTTTTGAGTGAGTTCAGTCAGTTGAGTTGAGTTGAATTGAGTGGAATTGGTTGGTGAGTGGCTGAGTTAGTCAACAAGTGAGAAACTGCTGAGATTCCACTGTTGTGAGCTGTTGCTGGAAGAAGCTGGTAGCTGAGGCCAGGGATAGTTAGGAACCCAGAGGAAGGGGAATGTCCACCTTTGGAAGTTGATACCAAGCAACGACTAGTGCAGACATGACTGTGGACACTAGTGTGTGTGAATTATAAAGTATAGTCATGCACTGTATCAGAGAGTCCAATCAATAGTCACACTCATATATATGACAGTAATAGAGATTTGGTCTTATGACATCTGTCAGTTGTGACAGGTTCTCTTGCTAGGATACTGCACTTTGGATTACCGTACCGGGTTTCTGGACATGTCTGTCTTAGGTTACCTATGTAACACAACAAATAAATTTACACAGGCCTCGGTTGGCGAATATTTATTGGCTAATCTCCTGTACACTTCCAAGTACAATTATTGTCCACTTATAAAGTTGTCAGATGTTTCTTACAACACTGTTATAGTCATCTGTTGAACTGTTCTTGGCAACTGCTGGACTTCATCTGTCAACTGTCAGCTGTCTGGTACCTTTGAAGTTGAACTTTTATAACCTGGTCTCGGATGGAATGGAACACACCATCTAGGAGCCTTTGGTCTCACCCGCTGTCATGCAATGAACCCTCTGTTGTCCTTTCATCTCCGGGGAAACACATTTGTTGCTTAAGGTATTCCTAGGCAACAACCCACTGTTATTGCGTTTCCATGGAAGTATACCTTCCGGATTCCCGGCACATGACAATATATATCTAACCAAATTCTAGCAAAGAGTAGTAGTAATGCAGTGTTCATAGCCTCTATCTCACCATCAGAGTGAGTGGCATGTTGTCCAAGAGACAAATAATAACTAAATCATTTGCCCTAAATTCCTGCTCCAGAATTCCCATTCTTGTCTGAGAGACAGTCATCTGTATAAATATGTATTGTTTATTGTTATTAAATAACTCCACAAATCCTGTACAGGGGCTTTAGCACCCATAGGATATAGAGCTCGTCAAACTTATATACAATCTCATACAAAACATAAAAAGATACATGGATAAAAAGATACATGGTGTAACATTAAATCAAGCCATATCATAACAACATAGATTCATACACTTACACTATTAGAAATACAACCTTTTACTTTTTATTACTCCAAGTTCATTCGTCACAATCATTAAACATTAATCATAAAACAATATCACATGATACTAAGTAATAAACATAATTAAAATTAAAAAATATAACATACAGTTAATCCCATTTACATCCAATCAGTATTTACAAATTATTTTGATAAAAAAACTCCTCTAATGAATAAAATGACCACGAGCAAAGATATCTCTTTAATGCTGTTTTAAACAATTCAATTTTGTATGATAATGATTTTATATTTATAGGAAGATGGTTAAATATCCTCATTCCAATAGCATATGTCCCTTCATTATATATTGTTAATCTAGCAGATGGAAAATGAAGGTCAGTATTGTGCCTAGTATTTAGACCATGAATTTCTTGATTAGTTTTATAAAGATGCTTATTTCTCACAACGAA